GATTAATGAGACACTTTAAAGTGGAAATTAGAAAAGGAAATAAAACTGTTTAATTGCATGAAGTATACTTGAAAGATTGAGTGTGGATTTTTTTTTATTTTTTTCAGATAGATAGATTATGAAACTTTTTTTTTTTTTTTGATGAGGGGGGATTTGGTAGGTTAACTAGGAGTTAAGGGGATATATGGTAGTATTATCAAAACTCGAGAGACTTATGATAGATTGAGTCAAAACTCAGGGGGTAAAATGTAGTTCGTCCTAAATTAAAATGAAAATAATGAATAACCACGTGGCTGGTAAGTGCAAAATATGATAATGTGCTTCAAATGCCATGGCTGATTCTAAGCTACGCCACACAATTGATACTCATTCATTACTCCCGAGTTCTTGAACCCTCGCAGAAGTCTTTGTTGTGTCTATTAAAATTAAAATTTTGTTTTGCCATTATACCATACCAATCAGAAGTTGAGTAACTCCATAATGAAGCATTTCTTATAAATGAACCAACTCCCAAAATTAGTATACTATATGCGTTGTACTGCGGCAGAATACTTTGAAGAATATTCATGAGCTGTTTGGTTTTTAAGTGAAGAATGGAAGGCAGTGGTTTCATGAGAATTAAGGTATTGCTGAGAGTCATGTGGCAAGGATTATGAGTTTCACATCGGAGGCATGAGGACATGTGAATCAGTTAATAAGAAAGGTGGTCTCAGGACCTATTAACTTGAGTTTTTGAGTTCGGATGGGTCTTATCTTATTTATTGGGCCCCATGTCGGGTTTTCTCCTCCAGATAAATCCCCAACAGTGGTATCAGAGCCCAAGTTAGGCCAAGTGGGTGGGTGATTTAGTCCAAATTATCTCGGTTAATCTGACTGAACCCAGATAGTCAAAGCCCCACTACGAGCGAAACGTAGGGATGGGCGGCCCAGTTACTCAGACGGAGTACAGATTTGGGCTTGTCAAGATAATTTGGAAGCCCGATGTGGAGATTGCCCATGACGGGGGAGAATGTTGGGAGTCATGTGGCAAGGATTATGAATCTCATATCGGAGACATTAGGACTTGTGAATCAGTTAATAAATAAGGTGGTCTCAGAACCCATTAGCTTGACTTTTTGAGTTCAGATGGGTCTTATCTTACTTATTGGGCTCCATGTCGGGTTTTCTCTTCAGATAAATCTCCAACAGTGGTATCAGAGCCCAGGTTGGGCCAAGTGGGTGGGTGATTTAGCCCAAATTATCTCGGTTGATCTGACTGAACCCAGACAGTCAAAGGCCCACTACGAGCGAAACGTAGGGATGGGCAGCCCAGTTACTCAGGTGGAGTACAGATTTGGGCTTGTCAAGATAATTTGGAAGCCCGATGTGGAGATTGCCCATGACGGCGGAGAATGTTGAGAGTCATGTGGCAAGGATTATGAATCCCACATCGGAGGCATGAGGACATGTGAATTAGTTAATAAGTAAGATGGTCTCAGAACCCATTAGCTTGGCCTTTTGAGTTCAGATGGGTCTTATCTTATTTATTGGGCTCTATGTCGGGTTTTCTCCTCCAGATAAATTCCCAACATGTATGATAGATTTTTTTCTGCAAATTTTATGTTTTTATGATAAATGAGTAGTTATATTACAAATTAAGGGATCGTTACACACAACTGATTAATTTAACATGCAGAGAAGAAGATCCAAAGGTGAACCAGACATCATGAATCTTATGGTGTGCAAACTTAAATTTCTTATTTTTTGTTTGCACTTTTTACTTTTTTTAGTATTTTTTTTTTTACTGAAACCTAAATACTACGGAAGGGTTTCTTTAGACGATGAATGAATTAATTTATTGAATCAAGATTATGTCACTAAAGATTCGTGTAAATGATTTTTCTTTCAAAAGAATTAAGCCAAATTAATTTTGTGCGAATTTCAAAAATCCGCGAGCCCAGATGATGTAACCCTAGAGCACGTTGCGGTAAAATTGTTCCACTTATAGGATGTTGGAATACATTTTTTTCCCCTTTCAAAAATCATAATTTCTTAGGTCCAAATAAGAAGCCAGAGTCGAGGTACTTGATATAAGTATTATGTCTAATTCAACATTTTTAGGACGAAGAAAATAATTATGACGAAGAAAGTGATGATGGAGATAACGAAGAAGGCGAAGAAAGCGAGGATGACAATGGCACGACTAATGCTAGAGGCATTCTCTCAGATGAGTCGGCTGAAAACGAAGAAGAAGGCGATGACGAAAGTGATGACAGGAAGACAATGAGAAATGGACGTAATGTAGTCCATGGATATTATTTAGTGGAAGGAAAGATGAAGCATGGGATGGAAGACTTTCTCGTTGCTAAAAATAAAAGAATTAATGGTCATCAATTGGGGCTTTAATGGTATTTTTGATGGGCTTGTGTGAATGTAGATATCAAACACTTATGTTACTCATTAGTCGTATACCTTGTTCTTTGTAAGTGGACCATTCATAGTCATATTATATTGTATTAAATAAAAGTGGTGAACGTAACAGAAAAAGAACAATGTTTTTTCACAAATATATGCATCTAAAAAGTCATGGTATGCGACGAAAATTCATACATAGTACTTGGAGGATGTTGGTTGAATTTTTGATGTGTGTGCAGCCTGAATTCTTGGAGGGATCTAGTATCTGCAATAAAGGAAGCCTACCGTAAAACGGACCCTGAAGAGTATAGTCCAGGCTCCAGGAGGTTCAACTGCGGTGACTGCAATACTAATTGATGGGAAACGGCTTGTAGTAGCCAATGTAGGTGACTCGCGAGCCGTGTTATGCAGAAACGGGAAAGCCATTCAAATAACCGTGGATCATGCGCCAGAGAAGGAGAAAGATCTGGTTGAGAGCAAAGGTGGATTCGATCTCATCCACAAACCAGGTTGTTCTTCATTCCCAAGTGTAATTTTTTTAGGAGATTTTATACATTTTGAGCTTTTTCTCCATAGCAATTTTTCTTTTTTCTTTTTTTTTTTTTTTTTTGAGATTACGTAGGACATAAATGTAAAAACCGAACATAGAAAAAAAAAAATCTGAAAACATCTTTTAGGTAACATTCTACGTGTGGATGGTCAGCTGGCAATGACTAGAGCATTTGGTGATGGGAGATGGAAGGATCACATCACAGTTGAACCACATGTATTTAATAAAACGATACACAAAAACACCGAGTCCATAATTTTGGCCAGTGATGGTTTGTGGAAGGTATAACTGATTTTATTTTTCTTTTCTTTTTTGACTAAAATGTCCAAATGGTCCCTTACATTTAGACCTACTTGATTTTACGTCTCTAACATTAACATTTTAATATCGCAGTCCCAAACATTATGTTTTCAAACTTTTTTTGTCCCATTTCACTGTTTCCATCATTTTTCCGTCCAGCTCAACGTTGTCCGGCCGTTGACTTGCCGGAATCAGGGTAATTTTCGTCTTTTCTTTTACTTTGATCTTCCATTAAAATTCAAATCATTAAAAATATTATAAAATTCACATTTCATTATTTAATTGTTAAAATATTATTATTAATTTAAAATATTACTATTATAAAATTTTAAAATTTACATTATTTTCAAAATTATTATTTTTATTTACCATTTTTCTTAGATTACAGTGGGCCCAATGTTAAAAATGCAACCTATTTCCTTTGGATTGATTGGAGAAATCTAATCCTGCAATTAATAGACCTCGTTTAAAGTGAAGTTTAAAGTGAAATACAAAGCAAACTTCATTCACTCCCCTAAATTAAAAAATCTTTATCTTAATTAAAAAAAGAAAAGAAAAATCCTTATCTAATCTTTATTGATTTTAACCGGTTCATTTACTCCTATTCTCCTGTATTCCCTTCTTGTTCATCCCTTCCAATTCCGCCCCCACACATCCCATCCACATTTCAACCCTTACTACACTTCAGTTTAGGGGAGATGAGCAGCAACGGCGGGGCCAAATTCATAGCTGTTGAGGATGGCCTCACCCTTTTGAGTTTGTCCTAATTGGTTTCAAGTTCACCACATATAATGGATCGATTTTTTATTTTGATTGTTTAAAAAAATATTTGGTTGTGATTTAATAGTGCCGATGGGTTTCTTGGTGGTATTAGTGGGTTATAAGTTGTTTGGTGGTAATGGTGGAGTTTACACTTACAGTGTTGATTACAGTGATGTTGGTAGTAGATTTGATTGTTTGTTGGTGCTGAGTAAAAATAATTTGCAGTGGTTATGGGTGGGTAAAAGTAAAATTTAGGTTGTTATGGTGGTAAAAATTATGAATTTGCTTGATGGTGGTGAGTGGGATGGGGTTGAAGTTCCCGGTGGTGGTGGCCATGTTCAGCAGCCGAGTAGGCTGGAGATGATATTAATTGCTCTATAATAATATTTTAAATATTAATATTAGGGTTTATAATAATACTTTATTAATTAAATAATGAAATGTGAATTTTATAATATTTTAATGATTTAAATTTTAATGGAAAATCAAATTAAATGAAAAGATAAAAATACCCCTGATTCCGGCATTCAACGACCGGTCAACGTCGAGCTGGACGGAAAAGTGGTGGAAACAGTGAAATGGGACCAAAAAAGTTTGAAAACATAATGTTTGGGACTGCGATACTGAAATGTTAATGTTAGGGACGTAAAATCAAGTAGGCTCAAATGTAAGGGACCATTTGGACATTTTAGTCTTCTCTTTTTATGCATATGAAGTTAGAACATTGTCAGTTTGTATGATTTTCAGTTTGAAATGTAATCTGTTGCAGGTGATTTCAAATCAAGAGGCCTTAGATTGTATTAAAGGGATGCAAGAAGGTCCAACAGCTGCTAAGAAATTGGTCAAGGAAGCACTTGGAAGGGGCAGCAAAGATGATATTTCCGTGTGTTGTTGTTCTATTTCATTTGAGACTTGAGAGTTTTGGCAGTTTTCATATTGACTTCTCTTAAAGTTTTCCCTCTGGTTGGGGATATTATCATTTTGAAATGAGTGTTGTCATTGTATCAGTATCAGTATGCATTATATTAAAAGATTGAAGAATAATAGAACACGACAAGGACATATGATCTATGATAAGATCCCGCGTAATGGAATTAATAGTGTTAGCAAACTACAAATTTGTATTGAATGATTTGCTAAATTAAGCACCCATCGCTTGGGACTTATGACTCATCTGTCATGCATATTTGTGTTTTCTGTATACTTGTGATCTTTCTGTGTACAACCCTTAGAGAAAAGGATACAAGTGGTACAGTATTTTTAACAGTAGGATATTAGGAATTTCAAAATCAATCGACCACATCACTGCTAAAAAGCTTGAACTTCGAAGCATCAAGAACCAACTTCCTGATCGAAGCAAATGAGCCCACAAGTCCTACGCCTGTGAAGATGATGATAATGGCATTGTTGATCCAGAAACTGGGGGATGTTCTTGCGGGCTTGTAAGTCATATTGTATAGGAGCATTGGCAGTATGAAGTCCAGCGGGATGAATCCAATGGCACCCACAACTCCACTGATGTCCCCGAAGAATGGCAACATAGCAGCAATGAAGCCACAAAACACCATGTAGAGCGACCGAAGAATGATCCTAGGGATGAGGTTTCTCTTGGAGAATATCCCCTGGTTCACATCGGCCGATTTCTTCTCCATGATCTCATATGCTACTTGAGAATACAACTGTTTGATGTTTGATAACAATGTTATATTACATTCTGCCCTCTTTGCGGAAGCATTAATAATCAAAGATCTAGAGTAAGTAAATTAGATGCGGCTTACCAGACCAATGGCAAAGAGTTGGAGGAGAATGAATATGACTGAAAGACCCAGTACCCACGTGGGGGCCAAGGCAGGTCCTTCATCTGGCATTAAGCTCTTGAGAATGTTTGAATTTGCTTTATTCCCGAAAACCCAGTATCCCGAAACAGCAGCAGAGTAAAATGTTACGCAGATCACAGCATAGCACATTAATAGGCCTTTGAATACCTTTCCAGTAGCTGGAGGAGCTAGAGTAGCCTGCATTTATGCCACAAGTGAACTTCAGGAAAGCGAAATTTAAATCCAACAGTGGAGGTCTATAACTACTACAAGCAGCCATTTTACATTTACATCACAAGTGGAAAAAAATGGAGATATATCATTGACTATACGGAATGCTCCAGGCATTAAAATCACTTGTATGGTTTTCCATGGTCTTAATCCAATCATGCAAGCTGAAATTTGATTTTTGTACGGCCAAAAGCAAAACAGTGATCGAGTGAATACGCAAGAATCACAACTGAAATAAGAAGCTTTCTGACCTGTATTTCAGGTAGTATCCCATTTCCATAAATGGAAGCCATAATTGATATAGAGGTGAAGCCATTCAAACTCTTTGATAATGTTGAACCTTGTAAGGAGTAGTCTCTAGGAGGTGCATTCTTGGAAGTACCTGCACAGTTCTGAAACAACTTAGATCACCACCAGGATCTACCCAGTCCATCAAAAATAGTATAGATGAACAAAAATTTGTCAAAACATGACCCTTTAATTTTATTTTAGAGTCGAAATCAATGTGCCAAGAGTATCATGTACCTGCATGTATACAGGCACCAACAACAAGAAATGTGTAGCCCAAACTGAGAACAAGCGAACCAAGATTGAGATGTCTGAGGGAGTGAAAAGTTGGAAGTTGAGATAGAACAATCATCACGGCCGTTACCATTGCTATGAAGTCGTACAATTTCAATGAACCATTTGGAGAGAGATCTGAGTACATGATCTTCAGCCACCAGAGAAAAGGAACCATTGGTGACATTATCATAAGGGAAAAGAAATTAAAGCAAAGTATTTATGCCACGAAAAACCTGAGCATATATGAGTGCGACATATATAGCATGATGTATCCATAACGAAACCATATTAACAGAATGAGAAATTGCGGAGCCCAAATTCATAATATTCTGGCATATCCTTTCACAATTTTAAAGCTAAGCAATAGCTACAGTTATACCTCTGTTTAGGAATTTCTGCACCCTTTTTCGATTATACACCTGACAGCCAGAATCTACTTCCAAAACAACAGCACTGAGGCCTATGATTCAAGGACTAAAAAACAAAATTTCAGGATAAGATTTCCATATAATTCTTTTCTGAAACTTCTATTTTTCTGATTTAATATATTACTGTAATAAACTCAAGCTTTTTCCAAGGTGACAGGTGAGTTGTCTCTGCTATCAAGTGCAAGCGTTAATAAGAAACTGTCTTCTAAGGCTACTTCGTATCCCAAATAGTTCCGTTACTTTAGTTGTTTGCTCATACACTCCCTTTTCAAGCTGAGGTTCTAATTCAGAGATCATATTTAAGAAACCAGGTTGCAAAATATACATAAATGGTCTAAAAAATATATCGGCCTTCATACTCGGGAACTAAAGTTTCAGAGCTCCTAGCAATCATGGAGAATCGTCCAGACAACTTTCAATACCACATGAAGAATTCATTGATACCTATGATTTGCAATACCTGGAGGCATTCTCCTGCAAGCAGGATAGCTCCTATGCTAATACCAGTGTTGATTGCTGTCTGAATGAATATCACAAAATAAAACATCCATCCAGATCCTACAAAGTTGAACAAAGATGGTCATCAACATTTCTCCATATGGCACAGGTAGAGCAGTTAGTACCAAGTTAGCAATACTCTGGTGCACAAAAAGTTTTAACATGGAAGAGCAATAGCTACTGTATGTGCAGATAAAGGAATTCATAAGCATGCTATATATGTAGTTCCTGTTGCTGTCCCATGAAGGTGAATGGATATTTATAATTATCATTACTTCTTAAAAGAATATCGTAGGTGCAAAACAGCCTTTACTTAGATTTGCTTAAGGAGCCATTCAGTTCTTGAATTATGAGGTTTAAGAACAAAAGGCAAGAGCAAGTCTTCCACAATCCACACTTGAAAGTCTTAAACAGATTGATCAATATAAGACAAGAATTTGACATTGCCTTTATGAAACCAATCAACATCACTGCAAGAAAATTCACATTAGAATCCTAATCATTTTGATGATCATATACTGGTATGAATGGTTTCAGTGGAGAAAACATGGATAAGATTGTGCAGGGCACACATATTCACACTACTTAAAGCTTCTATTATAACACATTAATGTGAACATTGGGAATAGGCCCAACTTCATCAATTCACATCACATTTGTTTGACAAAATTCAATCAAAATGGTCCCTCCAAAAAGTCCAAACCAAATTAAATTAAAAGGATCCATGCTTCTCCCCTGCAAAACAAAGCAACTTTCTTTCCAATATAAACAAGAGTGAAACACCACCATAAGCCATAAAAACCAACAAGGAAGCAGAATAAAAAAGTCAGTCAGGCACCTACTATCTTGAAGCAATAACTTAAAAATTAAAAAAAAAAAATTGAATATGGCTTAGATGGCGTAAGAAGTGACGCACCTAAGACGTCAGCAGCCAGCTCCCGGAATCGTATGTGGCGGCGTCCAGACTTCTCACAGTGGTCGAGCACCAAGGACATAAGATAGTAAGCATAGAAAGAGGCTATCCCCATCACCGTTAACGAGAAGAACCCCAGGCCCCACCCTAGCCCCCGGAAGGCGTAAGGCAGCGTCAGAATCGTGGGGCCCACAATCGCCGTCACCAGATGAAATCCGGCATGCCACCATTCCCCTGCTCCATTCCACCCCGAAACAAACTTAAGAAAACGTAATTCACAAATGATCCATTGACTATGTTAATCGAATTCAATTATCTCTGTTTTTTGGTTTACCTTTGGACTCCAACACAAAGACAGCGCCGGCGTCGGTTTCCCGGCGGTTCATCATCTCCGATAAAGAATCATCCCTCGGATTCTCTGGCGCCATAACTATGTATATACACAATTGCCGAGCAAACAAAAAAACTGAATTCAGTAATTGATCATGCCCACGTGTAATAGATGTTACAGAAGCATATGGGTCTTGCTTGCTTTTGCATGTACGTATGTATACATATATATATTAGCACGCAAAAAGGCACATCCTGTTATCAGAGGGAAAGACTGAAGAAGACCATGATGATGATGATGGAGTGCAAGAAAGAAGTGGGAATTCTCAAAAAGGGGTGGGGCATCTGCTGATCATAGTATTCTTGGAAGGGTCGAACTAAATAAAGGGTTGGGAATTTGGAATGGGACAATGTGTGGGAAAAACCGAAAACCAAAAAAAAAACAAAACTTTCTATGAGAAAGAATTGTTTCGTGTTTAAGCGGTGGGAAAATTGGGAATTGGGAATCTATGCGCATCCAGTAAGTAGATTTTTTTGACTCTTATGAATTGAGGATACGTTTAATTAGTCCCAATATTAAGGTGGAGGAGGCGTTGAGTAGCCGAAAGGGAATGATTTTTTGGTACCGTGATTTTGTGTGTCCCTGTCACAGTCGGATGATATTTGATACTTCCTCCTCCCATAATTATTGTCTAGTTTTAATTTTCGTTTCTAATTTAAATTGTACTAAAAGTAAAATTTCAAACTAGACAATAATTTTGGGATAGAGGGATTACTAATCTGGATTCTTAAGTTCATTGGGATGCACAACGTTCCTACTATTCTTCCTTATGAAATAAGTGTAGTTGAACCAAAGCTGACACATCCAGTCCAGAAATTACAATCAAAATAAAATAACATTGATGCCAATTTTTATTTTATTTTTTTCATATTGTAGGGTGTTCACTGTCGATTAATCTCTCTCGCTCATAGTAGAAACTTCGATGATGGATAGGTGGGAGAGCTGGTCAAAAGATGATTTAACAATTTGTCTCACTCGCTTTGGCTTACTCCACGGTAACAATTTCTTTGGGTTTTGATAAGAGTGCATTAAAGATGATCTAACAATTTATTACCTACGGGCTACCCGTCTTAGTCGGTTAAAACTTAAAAGGGAAAAAAAAAACAAAAAACAAAAGCGTTCAGTTGGGTCAATATGAAATCAGCCCTAGTGGCAACCACAGTAATTTATTAGGGCAGTAATTCACTAATTTGGATAGAGTGAAAAACATGACTTTAATTTGATTGGTGACCAGTAAATTTGCATCATGAAAACTTACAATAAATGCATGTTGATGAAATCACAATGGTTTGTTTCTACAGTTTATTCATCTACACAAATATTTTTTGGTTACTTATAATCAATTTTCGTGGGTGAAGCTTTTAAGCATATCTGGAAAAGAGACAATTTTTGAAGTAGTATCACGCCTTACCACGAACTGGGCGCATCTAAATCAAAACCTGAATTGACTTGCATAGTTTTTACAAGTTGCTGATCCGCTGGAGCAGGACAGTCTAAGGCATTATTCAACAATGATCAGACAGACAACCAATACTCAATGGTCAACCGGGATGGATTCCGCTAGTTAATTTTGTGTTTAAGAAATTGGTCTAGTTGGTGAAATTAATCAAAAGTCAACTAACTTACATCCACTTAATGTACAATAGAAAAACAAATAAAAAATTTAAAAGTAAATGAATCAGAGGAGTCCACTTTAAAATATATATCGTTTTAGGATTTTGTGAATTTTTTTAAATATATGTCGTTTTCACAAATTGATACATATTTAACCACTTTTTACCAATATTACCATTGCATTAGAAATGGAACATTATTTATAATGAATTTCTATTGGTTTGTGATGAACTGTATAAATAATAAATAAGGGTAATTTTTGTATTTTAACTATATTAATTAATGTTTTTTTGGTTTTGATGATTTTGGTAAAAAGACTTATAAAAAAAAATGGAAGGAGTAGATATAAATGGTGGTAATTTTTGTATTTTAACTATATTAATTAATGTTTTTTTGGTTTTGATGATTTTGGTAAAAAGACTTATAAAAAAAAATGGAAGGAGTAGATATAAATGGTGGTTAAGTGATAAGCTCATTTATTGGGGATAAAAATGGACCGAAAGAATTGAATTGAAATGTGAAAGTTATAAACTTATAAGTGAACGATTGATCCCCATTCTTCATAACCAACTAGTAGTATAATCCAGCCCAGATCCACCGAAAAAAAAAAACAATTTAAGCAAAGGAAGAAACTTGCAGTAGTTACGGGTTTTTTTTAGTCCCATAGAATAGACATAGTGAATGCAGTCCATGTATACTTAATAATCCACGAACTAACATAAGAAGATACAATTTTCATACATATTGAAGAGAAAAAAAGAAACAAGCAAAAGGAAAGAATATGAATGGGAAGACGAACTCAATTAGGGATAATATATTGTAATTTAAAGTTATCGATCATATATGCCTAAGAATATTTTACAAACACAATACAATTTTCTTTTCCCCTTTTTGATGATCTTATTCTCGTTCATCATCTATGATCTGTGGATATATGCCCAAATAAGAAACTTAATTAATTTATTCACACAAAAGGGGGGAAAAAAAAAGAAGAAATGGTAGCTTTGTTCTACAATCAATAATGGGGAAGGAGAATATCAGGCTCAAAAAGGCTTAACGAGGGTGTAAAATTTTGACTTTAGGGAGAAAAGGTGGAGATAAGCTTTTGGTTTTTAATTAGTACACTCGACTCATTCTTTTTCTTAAAAAAAAAATCCATTCCATTAGATCCCACTTAAATATGGGTAAACCCTCTCTTACAACTCCTGGTGGGAATCAAACCCTAATCTATTATCGGGAAAGATACTAACCTAACTACTAGGTTGTCATTCAATTCCCATACACTCGACTCATTCAGGTTCGTATCATGAGATATTTTGTAAAGTTTCTCTTAATAGTACTCCCTCCATTCCAAAATCAGTGTTGTTTTAGCAAAATAGAGAAATTCTAAAATAAGTATCGTTTTTGAATTCCAATGCATTTTTTGTCAAAAATTTCCAAACATACTCTCAAAAGAAATAATATTATTGGTAAGCATTTATTTTAGTGGAGTTAGTTGAGGATATTCTAGTAATTTAGTTACCCTATTTAAGTGTTTCTTAAACTGTGTGCGCACTCTAGAATGACACTTATTTTGGAAGGGAGTGAGTGCTAACTTCATTGTTTTCGTCAAACAAATGTTTACAGTGAGCTTCTAAGTAAAGCTTATAATTTTTATTAGATAACATCTGTCTTTTACCATTTTATTTTTTCCACTAAATTCAACAAATTCTTTTAAAAATCAATTTAAAAATCTCAATTTTTGAAGCAATTAAGGAACTCAATTGGAGGGACGTGCCTAGATTGGGTGCTTATTGGTTAGGTTAATGACCAATGCAAATAGGGATTGTAAAACAAATAATTTCAAAATTTCAAAAAAAAAATAAAAATTATCTGCACTATCTTTTCGGAGAAAATGCTCATTGGTCCAAAAAAAAATTAGGGAACAATCAAACCTTGCGAAAATGCATATGTAGGGATCTCTAGAGATTGTAAAACAAACTAGATGCTTGCCCCGGGCGAATATTCGGGGTGCCGCTTGTATTTTTAAATTGATTAAATAAAAAATACGAATCATTCTTAAAAGAATAAAAAAAATAGAAGAATAAAAAATCGATTGAAAGGAAAGAAAGTGAGTTATTATATATATATATATATATATATCTATGCCCAGATTTATAACATTTAATTTACAACAGTTAACTTACGCCCGGATTTACATAAATCAAAAACCAATATCTACAACAGAAGAATTAAAAAAAAAATCATCCTTAAAAAATCAAATTTCTTTCATGACAGCTTATTTTGTCTCTGTTGTAGAAAGAGATGGATTGATAATTGATGTCAGATTTTAAGTAATTGATTTAAAGGCCCGGATGTGAGAGAGGAGCGGAATGGAAGAGATTCTTTGAAATTGGAGATTGGGAAGACATTATTGTGTTTCACTTGATTTAAGGGAATTTCTTTACATTTGATTTTATTAATTAAATATTGTTGTTTTAAAAGATTAGTATATACCTATAATTAAGAGATTTTTATGTAGCTATAATTAAGGAATTTATGTATTTATCTATTCCATCTTTTTTTTCTAATTAGTTAGAGTGCTACTTGTTAAAAATGATTTTGTATTGAAAATGAATTTTGGCGGGAAAATTTTCATTGTAGTGCTGACACATATCCTTTTTGTTTGCATCTTTAATTAAGTACTATAGATAACTTGATGTTAGACCTGTCCATATACATAGATATTACTACACAAACAAATCAAAAAAATGTTAATATTTGTATAGATTTTTGTATTTTTATAAAATATAATAAATTCATTGAAAAATATAAAACACAAACATCAACAACACTTTACCAAACGAATACATTGGTAATTTATTTAACGCAAAAAAGATTATTAAGAAATTAAAAAAATGAACTTTGAATTAAATAATTATATATTTTACAATATTTCTTGGTAGACTATATTGGTAGTCTGGGATAGAAAGATTGGCTAGAGTGGTTAAGAGATTATGATAAGGAATTTTTTTTTTTTTTTTGAAAAGGTTTATGATAAGGAATGGTTACTACAGAAACAACAACCCTAACCTGTTGTAGAGGCTATCTAATTTTTTAATAAGAAAAATAAAAAAAAGGTTGGATATGAGGACCTTTTTCTAAAAATTTGGATTTCAAAACATTAAAAAAGAAGAATAAAGAATAGCCATAATTGAAGCCTTTTAATATTTTTATTCTTTGCCAGAGCCATTCTTAGCCCCGCTACATCAACCCATCACTATATTATTTTAACTCAATTCTATATTTGAAGCTAAATTATAGAAATTTCAAGTTGGCCTAACTTCTTTAATTATTTTAATAAATTATTAATATAAAATTCTTTTTCAGTTGCGTTTTTTTAGGAGGAAGGGATTTGTCCATCGGATTTGTAGGGATTTGGTCGAATCAATATAGAGTTTGAATTTTTTTAGCCGCGTTTTTTTTTTTTTGTTTTTATTGTTTTATTTTGTGCATTTTTATATCTAGAAAATTAAGAAAATGCCACATAGGATAAAATCCTATGTGCCATGTGCTCCTTGACTTTAGATTCCTCTCTCTGGTTTTTGCTTTAGTATAGTATATAGATAGATAGATATAGATATAGATATATAGATTTAGGGATTGCGAAAATGCTCATTTGTACAACAAAATTATTTGTAGGGAGTATAATTTTGGGTTTAAGTGGACGTCTATAAATGCTAAACATGCACGTTTAGTGACCAGACAGTTACACTGCAAACCATAAGTTTAGTGGACTATTGAACAATATGGGCCGCGTGTAGCCCATGTGCTCTAAACAATCTGGGCCGAGTGTAGCCCACATACTCTATACTAGTCATTTCTTGTTATTATTCTATTCATTTTTCGTTTTGCATTTTGGAGAGATAGAAGATTGTGATTAATCAAATCATGAATAAATATTTTTTAAAAAATACTATCGTCGCTTTAAAAAATTTATTTTGATAAAAATATCGGGAAGAAGGAGTACAACAAATACAAATGCCAGAAATTATTTTTGACACCATTTTTGGCATCATTTGATGAAAATTTTGCACGAAATAAGACATGCCTTCACCTCCAAAAATTGACTACCCCGAATTTGTCACTTCAAAGTTCAAACAACACCGACCTTAATTCAGACTCACTCTGTCAAAAATAATAATAATAATAATAATAATAATAATAATAATAAAATTCAAAAAATAATTTGTGCATTTTACTAAAATATTAAAATTCACAAATTGTAAGGTGAATTATATTTTTAGGACAAAAGTACTAAACAAGTGCAAACCAATTATACTGTGGGTCTTATTTCCTAAAGCACCACGGACTATTAAATGGGATAGAAGGAGTACTCACGAAAAAATTAACTACTCGGAATAATCCATCACTAACAATAATATTATTAAAAAAAAATTTGGTGATGATCTGCAACTTTTATATTTACTCTATGTCAGACCTTACAAACTCCATACTAACTTTCGGGTAGAATAAGGAAAAATTCCCAAAATTAAGAATACAAATTAGATAAGCGAATCTGAGGTTAAATATCTGACCTGAATCAAGCAACGGCCGAGATCGTGCTTCTTCTATTGATGATCGGTCCACCACCACCACCACCATAATTCCGGCAGCCGGACGAGAAGGAGAAGCAAGTTTGTGTGGTGGTGATCACTTCAGAGAGCAGTTGGGTATTTAAAATTATGAAAGTTTGGTGGTAGTGGGTCTTATAGCTTTTGAATCTTCTTCGGTTTTCACGATTTGTGGGCTTGTTGATTTGACCATCCTCCGGAAACTTCAGCCTTTAGAAATTATTATACTAGAATACAAGGTAAATTATTAAACTAAATATTCTGTGATCGAGGCAAAACGAAAGAATAACGTAGTAATAACAATTGAGACATTCATTTCCTATACTCTTTCTTTTTCTTTTCTTCCCTCCCTTCCTACGTAATTTCTACAGTCTTCCGCTTCGTTCTGGCTTACGTTAAAAAAGGATCACTGGTTGTTAGGCTTCGTTATTGTTCTAGGCTTCAAGCTACTAGGTGAATTTTACATTTTCTTTAATTACACAATTTCAGCAGAAACGGAGGAAAGACATTTTGCAGCTTTTTTTCTTTCTTTTCTTATAAAACTAGAGTCTATATATAATGATCCAATGTAAAAGTAACTAATAATTTATTTAGTGATGATATTTTATTTACTTCTCTGTTAGAGATTATATTATTATAATATAATAATAAACCTTATGAGATTTAAAAAGAAGAAAAATAAGTAAGCATAAGGAGTAGGAGGAAAGAAGGAGAGGAAGGAAAAATTATCTCTTTTTTGTGTGTCTTTCTCTCCTCTGAAACTCATGTATTTATAGGAGAAAATGTGGAGACAGCATGACTCCATTTTCCTGAGCCTATATCATAGGCATTTGACCTTTTGGTCATTTACCTTTTTACAACACTCCCCCTTAAATGACCAAATAAATTACACTTATAACACTGCCTCGTTAAAAACCTTGCTAAATAAAAACCCAATGGGAAAAAAAAATTTAGCGAAGGGAAAAAGAGTGCAGTGCATAATTATCTCCCCCTGATTATAACATCGGTAATTCTTCACATGCTGTGTAAATGACGCATTCCGATATTATGAACATGTTTTCTAAAAAGTACTGTAGGAAGTGACTTTGTAAAAAGATCAGCTGAATTTTCACTGGAAGTAATATATTGAATATCAATATCATTATTCTTCATGAGCTCTTTGGTATATGCAAAGAATTTTGGAGGTATATGCTTGGTCCGATTATTCTTGATATATCCTTCTTCCAGTTGATAAATACAAGCCGCATTATCTTCATATAGAATGGTTGGATTTTTCTTGACTGGAAGACCACAAGACGTCTTGGTGTGTTGTGTCATTGACCTGAGCCATACACTTTCTCTACTTGCTTCATGTAATGCAATAATTTCTGCATGATTCGAAGAAGTAGATACTGTTGTTTGTTTCTGGGAACGCCAAGAAATTGCAGTTCCTCCACATTTGAACACATAACCAGTCTGAGATTTTCCATGGTGAGGATCAGATAAATACCTTGCATCTGCATAACCAACTAACTCTTGTTTTGAATTGTTAGAGTAAAACAAACCCAAATCAATACTTCCTCGAAGATAACGAAATATATACTTGATTCTGTTCCAGTGTCTTTTGGTGGGGGATGAGCTATGTCTTGCTAATAAATTAACTGCAAAAGAAATATCATGTCTAGTACAGTTAGCAAGATACATAAGAGCTCCAATTGCACCCAAATATGGTACCTCAGGACCAAGAATTTCTTCATCATCTTTAGCTGGACGAAATGGATCCTTTTCATCATTTAGTGTCCTGACAACCATTGGAGTACTTAAAGAATTTGCTTTATCCATGTTAAAGCGTTTTAAGATCTTTTCTGTATAATTTGATTGATGCACAAATATTCTATTATGCATATATTCAATTTGTAAACCAAGACAATACTTAGTTTTTTCAAGATCTTTCATTTCAAATTCTTTCTTTAAGTACACAACAACTTCATCAATTTCTCTATGTCTTCCAATGATGTTCAAATCATCAACATAGACAGCTATAATAATAAATCCAAATGTTGTTTTCTTAATAAAAACGCATGGACAAATATCATTATTGATATATCCATTATTTATCAAATAATCGCTTAAACGGTTATACCACATGAGTCCATATTGCTTTAACCCATATAACAATCTTTGGAGTTTGATCGAATACATTTCTTTGGGTTTTGAACTTGAAGTTTCTAGCATCTTAAATCCTTTTGAGATTTTCATATAAATATCACTGTCAAGTGACCCATATAGATAAGCAGTAACAACATTCATAAGACACATTTCTAATTTGTTAGAAACTGCAAGACTGATTAAAAACCTGAATGTAATTGCATCCATAACAGGAGAATATGTTTCCTCATAATCAATTCCAGGTCTTTGAGAAAAACCTTGGGCTACAAGTCTAGCCTTATATCTGGTAATCTCATTTTTCTCATTTCGTTTCCGTACAAAAACCCATTTGTATCCTACAGGCTTTACGTTTTCAGGAGAGAGGATAATAGGTTCGAAAATTTTTCGCTTGTTAAGCGAATTCAATTCAGCTTGCATAGTATCTTTCCATTTTAATCAGTCATGTTTATTTTGACATTCTTTAACTGATTTTGGTTCAGGATCATCATTTCCATCCATAATTTCACATGCTACAGCATAAGAGAAAATCTCATCATTTTCTTCGATTTCATCTCTATTCCACAGTATCCCCGTATTGTTATAATTGATTGAGATTTCTTTATTCATCTCTTTTTTTTTCTTCTTGGGGAATTTCTTTGCTCTGTGTTTCTTCAGAAATAGTTTCTTTTGTATTGCATTTATTTTCTGTTCCCTTTTTGGTTCGGGGATTTTTATCTTTTGAACCAATTGGTCTTCTACGCTTCAAACGTGGTTTAGACTCTTGAGAGACTTTATCCTTAATTTTCAGCTTTGTGATTTCAATCCGAGCAGGAGCATTAGCTGCTGGTATATGTGATTTAGTCACTCCTTTTGAATCCACAAAAGCTTCTGGCAATTAATTCGCAATTGCTTGTAAATGTACAATCTTTTGTACTTCTGCTTCGCATTGCTTTGTGCGAGGATCAAGATACAATAATGATGGTTCATTCCATGCAATATTCTTAATTACTTCTTTTCTTTCTCCCCCTAATGTTGGGAAAATAGTTTCATTAAATTGACAGTCAGCAAAACGTGCTGTGAAAACATCGCCAGTCCAAAGGCTCAAGATATTTAATAATAGAGGGTGATTCAAACCCAACATATATTTCCAATCTTCTTTGAGGACCCATTTTGGCTGTGGTGGTGCAATGGGTACATATACAGCACGACCAAATACTCTAAAATGTGAAACGTTTGGTTCACATCCAAATGCCAATTGCAATGGGGAGTATTTGTGATCCGCACTAGGTCTTATACGAATCAATGAAGCAGCATGTAATATTGCATGACCCCAAACTGAAACAGGTAGCTTTGTTCTCATAATTAATGGTCTAGCAATTAACTGTAGTCTTTTAATCAACGATTCTGCCAAACCATTTTGTGTATGTACATGAGCAACAAGATGCTCAACAATAATTCCAGTAGACATACAGTAATCATTAAATGCATGAGACGTAAATTCACCAACATTGTCAAGTCTAACCCTTTTGATTGGATGATCAGGGAATTGAGCTCGTAATTTAATAATTTGTGCAAGAAATTTTGCAAAGGCAACATTACGAGTTGACAATAAACATACATGAGACCATCTACTAGATGCGTCTATTAGAACCATGAAATATCTGAATGGTCCACTTGGTAGATGTATCGGTCCACATATATCACCTTGAATCCTTTCAAGAAATACAGGTGATTCATTTTGTACCTTTAGCGGTGAAGGTCTCAATATTAATTTTCCAAGAGAACAAGCTGTACATGACAATTCATCACTTTGAGGGATCCTTTGTTCCTTTAACGGATGTCCATGAGTATTTTCAACAATCCTTCGCATCATTAATGAACCTGAATGGCCAAGCCTTTCATGCCATAAATTTAACATTGAATGATCGAAGGATTTTGATCTTATTGTCATGTTTGATTCAATGTATGTATAATGCAAACCATTAGCAAATGGTATTCTTTCAAGTGTTTGAATCTTTCCAGACTCATATCTGATGATTTTCAAATATTTTACACCATCTATAGTCATAGATTGTGTATCATATCCATTATGGTATATATCATCAAAACTCAACAAATTTCTCCTGGAATTTGGAGAAAACAAAGCTTCTTCAATTTCAAACTTTGTTCCTCTTGGCAATGTAATTTTGGCTTTACCAATTCCTTCAATCAGATCTACAGGATCTGATATTGTATAAACCATTGCCTTTGTTGGTTTTATTTCAGAGAAATATTCTCTATTTCTCAAGATAGTGTGCGTGGTACCACTATCTGGTATACAAAAGTCTCCAACGCTGCTTTTACTTTGAGTTTCACTGAAATCCATGTCAAACTTAAAAAGAAAGATAAATAATCAAAATTTAATAATACATGATAAGATAACAAGTTTGTTGAAGAAAACAAAATTCATTAAAATAAAACTAATTGACAATACAACACTTATTACAGAACCTCATTCAATATAATTATGTATTTAGTGCTTCAGTCCTTAACATACAATAGAAACATTCAAATACATTTTGATAATTTCAAAATTCAGCAAATTCACTTGCAAAATCTGAAGCATTCAGTTGAGTTTGACCATTATCCTCAATTTGATCAATATGCTCATTGAAATTTACTTCTTTTCCTTTACCCTTTGATGCAGCATAAAGCTCACAAAGGTGTTTTGGAGTTCTACAGACTTTTTGTAAAATGACCTTCAGTACCACACCTGTAACATGCATCTTCAGCATTCTTTTGAGGTTTTTCTGGAGCATCATTCTTGGTCATTTTAATTTTCTTTTGAGGCTGAGCCATTTGTTCATACGAGGCATTACCATGATTATAGCCATACGGGGCATTACCATGATTATGGCCAGAAAATTGTTTTCCTCCATGGTCATTATAGCCTCCACGGCCACCATAGCCTCTACTACCTCCACGGCCACCACGGCTGCCACGGTTGTGATCACCACGACCACGACCACGACCATGGCCTCGGCCTCGGCCACGTCCACGGCCATTAAAATTTCAGTATCCTGAATTTATGGCGTTTGCCTCAGGATATGCCATCGAGCCAGTAGGTCGTGATTGGTGATTCTTTATCAAAAGTCTATTGGCATTTTCTTCTTGCAAAAGTGCCGTTGACAAATCAGAATAATGCTCGTACTTCATCAATTTATGATCATTGAAAGAATAATACTAGATGGATGAAATGTTGACAGAGTTTTATCTATCATTTCTCTGTCAGTTTTAGGATGTCCACAAAATTTTAATTGTGACACAATCCTGAACAGTGCTGAATTATATTCATCCACACTTTTAAAATCTTGGAATCGTAACGAATTCCATTCATCAATAGCATTTGGCAATATAACTGTCCTTTTATTATCAAATTTGGAGGTAATGCTTTTCCAGACAACAATAGGATCATCTTGATCAATGTATTCATTTTACAAACAATCATCAAAATGTTTGCGAAGCAATATCATCACAGTTGCCTTATCTTTGTTTGAGGCATTGTTTTCAGGTTCAATAGTATCTGTGAGACTCATTGATCGTAAATGTGTTAGAACATTCGTT